ATGGGAAGCCACTGCAAAAGCCAAAACACTGTTTATTCCTTCTTCTCTACTTGCAAGAAGTCCTAAATTGAACCTGACAAGTCTGAGTTCAAGGACATCCCGGGACAGCCACACAGGGAATATTTTGTAGCTGGGAAGGGAGAACTAAATGCCAAAAAAATTTCCAGAGTACACACAACTGTTGGAGAGCAGGATCATTTTCCATGTAAAACAAAGCTCACGGGGATACCATGAGTTAGGAACCAGGACAAAAACCCAGACACAAATAAGGGGAAGGACTGAATCCATGAGCAGCCTCAGTGCCTGTTCTGGATCAGCTCTCTGCTCCAAATTCCTCTTTGTTGTTTTTCCCAGCTACAGCAATTCCCCACCAAAGAGTTCTACAAAATATGGGCAGGGAACAAGGAGAGTAAGGATAAAGACAAACAGGATTTGCATCAGCAAAAAGCCCCACAGAACTGAGTAACCCAGTCCCTTCCCAAGGAATCCAATCAAGAACCCTGTCATGCCGCAAAATTCCCAACTCTCATGTCCCATTTTTATATTTCTTCAACACACCTGGCACTTTTCTGGGCATTTAGAATGACAGAAATCCAAAAGATTTGTTATTGTGGGAGAGTTTAAAAACCAAACAGGAAGGAAAAGTCTGTGGCAGTTCCTCAGTTCTGGAACAAACTCTTCCAAATCAGGAGTTTCCCATGGATCTCAGGAACCAGGGGTGGTACTGATTTGCTTTTGTTTTGGGTGAGAAACACCAACCTTTGTGTAACACCTGGACTATAAATGCAACAAACAAAGAAATGTGAAAATCCCACCTTAAACCCCATCCTGTGAGTTTTAGAGCACATCAGCCTGTTTGGATCCTCACCAAACAGAGCTCTGCAGACCATAAATTACAGAGCTGCTGAATAAAACACACCCACCAGGTGGATTTCCTCCCCTCCAGCATTCCCTGCAATCCCAGCCTGTCCCCAGAACAGCCACAGGTACCAATCCAACAGCAGGGCACTGTTTATTTCACATCACACCATGATCCTGAGTGAGCACAATCCCAGCAAACCCAATTTGTGGCCGGAGGGAGAAATGAAACCGTTCCACGTGTGAGAAGAGGTGAGTGACCCCAGAGCCAGGCAAACAGAACAAAGCAGAGGTGCCAGCGCTGCCCGGGGCAGCGCCAACCCGAAGAGAAGCCCGAGTCCCAACGGGGCAGCGGCTCCGTTCACTGCGTGGAGCCCCAGTGACACCTGGTGGCTGCAGGGACACACTGGGAGCTCCCCCCGGCTTTTCACAGCGCCGCTGCCTCCTGCTAATTAACAGCCCAAATGAACTTCTCGGGAGCTTGTCGCTGTCACTGTCACACGAGTGAGTGGCACCCGAATGCAGAACGTGCTCCTCATACAGGTCCCATCTTGTCAGTTCATAGGTTCTGCTCCCAAACTGGGGGAAATGGGGATCTTTGTTCTGCTCACAGGGTGTAAACTGTGATCTTGATGTCGGTGTTCTCAAACACTTCCTCAAGGATGGCTGACACCTTTTCCCACTGCAGGCCGTCGAGTCCACATCCAATCCTGGAAGACAAAGCACCAAAAGAGCCTTGCTGGGCCTTGTGCTGTGCCCAGCCAGCCCTGCAGCAGTTTGAGGTGGCCCTGCCACACCTCCCCACGAACCCACAGAACGTGGGAGAACAAGGAAACAAATGCACAGGGAAATGCAAATTAGATTTGCCCAATTAAACAGAGGAGCTGGTTAGAGGTGGATGCTTGAATTCTTATTTCACAGCAGGGGACCATCCCTCAGACATCCTTCTGGAAATTAAACACCCAAGCATTGGCATCCAGCTGCTGAGCCCCTCACCTGGGCATGGAGATGTCGGTGACGCCGTTGTTCAGGCAGTGAGCTTTCATGGCTTCCAAGCTCTTCTGCATGCTCTCATAGGTGGGCTTGTGAGAAACCTTCTGCTTTGTAATCTACAGAAAAATAGACAAGCTCAGCTGTGCCTAGGGCATGACCCCTGCAAACTTCTGTCTGTTATAAACACTGGTACAAAACACACATTCCCTCATATCCCAAAACTCCACACCCAAACTTGCCTCTGTGGAAAGACCTGAGCAAAGAACATTTCCAAGCTTAAAACACTCCAATCTAGCAGCCAGTTCTGTTCAGGTAAAGTGGAAATGCAGATGCACACAACAACTTGGCTGCTCCTCACAAGCAATGGTTAAGGACACATCTCTTATTGAGAGAACATTCCAGAAACTCCCTTCTAGTGCCCGAAGAGACCCAACAAACAGACTATTTATTTACAAGGGCCTGGAGTGACAGGACAAGAGGAATGGCTTCACATTGCCAGAGGGCTGGGTTAGATGGGATATTGGGAAGGAATTGTTCCCTGTGAGGGTGGGGAGGCCCTGGCACAGGCTGCCCAGAGCAGCTGTGGCTGTCTCATCTCTGGATGTGTCCAAGGCCAGGCTGGACAGGGCTGGGAGCACCCTGGGATAGGGGAAGGTGTCCCTGCTCAGGATGAGCTTTAAGGTCCCTTCCCACCCCAACCATTCTGTGATTCCTGATTCCATGAACATGACCAAAACCCCCACAGCTATTAATGCCTGATGTGTGACACAGTTTAGCTGCAGGGAGGTGTCCCAGTGCCACCCCAGCCCTTACCAGGTAGTAAATGTAGCGGTCATCCCTCTGCAGCACCGCCACCTCGCCCGTCTTCTTCTCTAAAGCACAAAAATCAAGGTGTTTTTACAACAGCCACACTCCACAACCCCAACAGCTCCAACTCCCTCCCTGCTGGAAACCAGGAGCTCCTCCAGGCACCACTCACTTTGATCCAGGAGCTCCTGGACACCGCCAAACTTCTTCTTGAAGAGCACGGCGATGCCGGCGCCCATGCGGCAATCCTCGCTGATGCAGTGAGCCAGGGCGTCCGTGCCCGGGCACGAGAACAGGTCCCCCTTCACACACCTGATCTGCAGGGCAGGGCAGCAACACGGCTCAGAGAGCACACCTGGGCACACCGGTGGCCAGGGACTGGGCAGCAAGAGGGGCAGGGTTTGAGTTTGCTGGAAGTGTTTGAGCTGGCACGGGCTACACACCCAAGGGAGGGAATTACCGACCCCACGTGTGGAATTACAAACCCCACGGACAGAACTGCAAACCGAATTCACAGCATTACAAGCCCAACTCAGAGAATAACAAACCCAATCTAGAGAATTACAAACCCAATATAGAGAATTACAGACCCAACACAGAGAACTGCAAACCCACTACAGAGAATTACACGCCCCGCACACAGAATTACAAACCCACTACACCTTCTCAACAAGATGATTTATGAGCATCATCTAGCAGCTCAGCAGGTAATCTTACAAAATCAAAGCTTAAAAGGGTAATTATGTGACAGGGAGCACAGCTGGATTAGTGAAACCCCTGCAGCAGCACCAGGCTCGAGGTGCTCAGGCAGGCAGGTGAGCTCTGTGCTGCTGCACAGCATCTGCCTCACTATTACACACAAAAAGCACACGGAATTCAGCACTGGCAGGCACTCTGCTCTCAAAAACTGCAGGAAGCAGCCAGTGCCGTGCTGTCAGGGCTGTAATGAGGGGAAAGCCTCTTTGCACACACAATAATATCCCATGTAACCCGTTTCCTACGCACTCTCTCCTCCTGATCCTTGGAGAAGTGGGTGGCCATGGTAACGTGGGGTATGGAGAAGGCTCCTGCGGCTGGAAAGATGAGAGAAAAACAATTATTAGGAACCTCAAGCTAGGCAGTAAGAGTGTGTTAGCTGGGGCGAGGCTGATCCTAATTCTATCTGTGACAGCGGGACAACCACGACACCCCTGAAGATGCCGCTGGCCCTGGCCCGGTCCCGCTGCGCCCGGGAGGAGGCCCCAGCCCTGGGTCACCGCACAATGGCCACCCCCAGGCTGCCTCCCTCCTCCTCATCACCATCATCACCCTCCTCCTTCCCCTCCCACCCCTCAGGGCCGCTCGGCCGCCGCACCCGCGGGGCGCACAGCGATCAACCGGGCCGGGCCCACGGCCTGCGCCACGCCGAGCCTGCCCAGCGCCGCCCACATCGCTCCGGCCGAGCCGCAAGGGCGGCCCCGCCTCACGGCCACAGCGCAGCGCCTCAGCCGCTCCGCCTCAGGGGGACATTGCCGAGACCGCCTCGGCCTCAGCGGCTCCGCCTGGCGGCGAAATGGCGGACGCGCCTGGCGGGGAGTTGGCGGGTCGTCCGCAGCCCGCAGGGCGGTATCGCCGCACACAACACGGCGATGCAGCCTCACACAACACGGGGATAACAGCCTCACACAACACGGCGGTACGGCCCCACACAACATGGCGGTACGGCCGCACACAACACGGCGATACGGCCCCACACAACACGGCGATACAGCCGCACACAACACGGCGGTACGGCCCCACACAACACGGGGATAACAGCCGCACGCAACACGGCGATACGGCCCCACACAACATGGCGGCCCCGCCCCACACAACATGGCGGTACGGGCCGCACACAACACGGCGATACAGCCGCACACAACACGGCGATACAGCCGCACACAACATGGCAGCACCGCCCCACACAACATGGCGGTACGGCCGCACACAGCTCGGCGATATAGCCGCACACCACACGGCGTCAGCGCCTCACATAACACGGCGGTACGGCCGCGCACAGCACGGCGTCAGCGCCTCACACAGCTCAGCGATACAGCCGTACACAACACGGCGGTACGGCCCCACACAACACGGCGGCACCGCCCCACACAACATGGCGGCCGCGCCTCTCCGCGCGCGCGGGCGGACCCTCCCCACGGCCCCGCCCCAGAATATTCCGGACAGGGGGCGGAGCACGAGGCTGGGCGTGGCCCGGCGCGTGCGCGCCGCAGCCCCCGCGCAGGCGCAGCGGCGCGGGGCAGGGCGAGCCGCG